GGTCGACAAAGCATAGATTCTGAAATCCTTACATGTTTTTGTGGAATTTCATGAAAATAGTAACAGTGTTTATCAGTCCAAGAATCAAGGTGCATTTTAAATAGAATATGCTGGGGCCAGCAGGTGGTGTGGTGGTTAAAGTGCTAAATTCCCACATGGCCAACCATGGTTTGAGTCCTGAACCTGGAGGCTTTAAAATCACACCAGGCTTTTGTGTGTGTGTGTGTGTGTGTGTATGTGTGTGTACATGCCCAAAATCCCAAGAGGAGAATAGAGGAGAAGAAACTATAGCATGGCCATCCCCCTGGGGGATGAAATCTCTCTCTCTCTCTCTCCCCCTCCTCCCTGGCAAGCAAACATGCCCTGTGGCAAAAACCTACAAAAAAAGAATATGATGAATAGTATTGAAAAGGGGCCCCCTGAGAATTTCCCCCCAAGCTGTAGTATATGTGAAATACTCCAAGTGAGAACATAAAGTCAGAAGTATACACAGAAAAGGAAATGGCACGTGTGTTTTTGTATCTACACTCGATGTGGTGGCTGCAGTCATTCATTCATTCACTCATTCATTTCATTCAACAAACAGTGCAAAACACTGTTCTAGTGCAAGGAAAGAAGTGGTGAACAAGACAAAATCCTTATTCTCATGGAATTTACATACAGGGAAGATGAAGACTTTCGATAAGCAAATAAATATTAGGTCATTGGAAAAGTTATGACATATTTTTCTATGCAAAAATGCATCATGATTTTTCCAGTGATCCAATGGGTTAATTAAAATATAAACTCAAAAAGTGATAAAGACTGTGACGAAAATAAAGCACATGTGTGGTTAGAGACTGATGGGAAAAAGACTATTTTAAGTAGGGTTGTGTAAGAAAAGCCTCTCTGATGCGCAATATTGAGTTGAATCCTAGATGACATGAAGGAATGAGCCATGAGAGGCCATGGAGGTCAAAGTCTCAGCAGAGTGAATGGCAAATAGAAAGGTACTGAGGCAGAA